TCCCTACACATTTCATATATAGAAGTGCTCCTGTCCCCTGTGCAGTGCCGCATGGAGGCCCTGGACAGGCTGACACTGGCAGCAAAACATTCCTCTTGGGTAAAGAAGGGATGGTTATAGAGGGCAATGGAACTGAGTGGTTAAACTGGAAAGCTGGATCTGCTATGGCTGGACCCAATGTCTGTGAGAAAGGCATCTGGAGATAGATCCTCAATGGGATCTGAGGATCTAATTCTGAAAAATTCTGCCAAGCGTGGTACACAGCCCTCCCTTCCCTCCCCGTGCCTCTCACAGAGCTGCGTGGCAGAATTAAGATCACTTGCATCAAGCGTGCAAGATCCTGTAGCAGGACAGAGGCCACAGGATGATATTTGTGTGTGCACATGACACTGGTGCATTGCTACAGCATCTGATCACACGCAGCTCACCAGATCTGCAGCCATGGAGTCTCAGAGCCTGAGCCCTTGGTTGGGTGACGCTACAAAAAAATCATTTCCCCACTGTCCCAGGGACAGTCCCTCAGCCTCCCTGCACCTTACTGCAAAGCGCTGCAAAGCCACGGCCACCAATACCAGCAGTGGCCAGACACAAGGAAGTGCAGAGCTCCCATCAACTACTGGGTTAACTCCTGGCCACCTGCAGTGCAGAGGACACCATGCTCAGGGCTACCCTTAGCCACCACCCAGCTCTTCTCCCCAGACACAGTGAGCAGCTGGGGGCAAGGCTTTCCCTTTGCAGGGCTTCTCAGTCGACAGCCACAACAGCAAACTCACCGCCAGACCCAGTGACGCTGCTGTTTTCTTTCCAAATCTCCCCAAAAACCACTGCCAAAAGGGAATAGAGAGGGAAGCTGTGACCTGAGGAGGGAACCAAAGGGAAGTCTTAGCAATGGCCCCCAGGACTGCCAGTCTCTGCCTGGGTGACATCCTTGCTGATGGGCAGAAGCAGCAGGACATGACTCCACAAGGCTGAGCTGCCTGTGCTGAAGGGCTGGGGTGACCCAGGGAAGGAGACCTTCCTCCACCAGGAAGGTCTGCCTAGGGCTCACTTACCAACATGATAAGCACTAAATGTTGGAACTTCCCAGCCAACCCTGCAGCATGAGTACAGAAGAAGGCAAAGATCCCCTGTGTGATCTGGGAAAGCAATGTGGAGACATTAATGACTGAGAGTCCCGAGTTCACTGTCTGGATAACTTGCCTGGACATCTTATCCCCCAAGTTCTCCTTCTGCCATGGCAGGTCTCGCACCTGGAAGGCCAGGGACGCAAAGAGGAAGCCACACAGCAGCTGGGTGTAGGGCTTGTGTCCCACGATCATCCTCAGGCAGCTGGCAAAAGGCAGCTCAACCTTCCCCAGGGGACTAAGGGGCCCTGAGAGGAGAGACAGCAGGGCTGGCACTGGAGCTGCCAGAACGAACGTGATGGGGTGGGAGACACAGGGGGATTCTGCCGTTGCATCCAGGGTGCAGCTCAGCTGGGTGAGGAGCTACCGGAGTCTGATATCTCAGTGCAGAGACGACAGCCCCGGTGTCAGCTACAAGCAGGATTTTGCCTCTTTACACTGCGCACACGGGCTGGCCTGCGTAGCTCTGCAGGCTGTGTGTTGGCGAGCCCTGCTCAGTGCGAAGCGGTGAGCTGCAGATCCTGTCCCGGGCCCACAGCTCCCCGCAGGAGCTCCCAGGCAGCAGGAGCCTTCCTTCCTCCAGAGCACCTCCCCTCTCCATTGCAGGAGCAAGACGCTGCCAGCACAAACCAAGGAGGGTCTTGGCATCCAAGTCTGTGTGTGTTTGTGTCTGAGCCCCACACCCAGAGAGCCATCCCCCCACATAGGTGCCCAGCTCCCTCTGCCTCACACCTTCCTCTTCAACCCCCATCCTCACCTCTCATTGCCACTGGGCACCCTTCAAATTGGATCTAAGTGGACCTTACCAGGCTGCTCCCTGACTCCAAAGATAAGAATCAGACAGGACAGGCAATAGATTGAGCCCAGGACCAGGGATGCAAATACATAGGCCCTGCGCTGGAAAACAAGAGACAGTGCACAGTGACAGTGCGGGTACCACGTACAGAGCTGGTGGCACAGCCTGCGGCACCTGCCCCAGAGCTTACAGGAGGAGCAGAGGGCAGACAGGCCAGCCCTTACCGTGTTCTCCAGAGAGTCCGTGAGGCTGTAGGTGCTTGCGTTGGGCAGGGTCTCATTTGACACGTAACAGCCGTTCATCATGCGGGCATGGTAACTGCCCACAATCTGCCCCTGGATTCCTGACCCAAGGAGCGTGCTGAACACCTCCATCCCCATTCCTGCCAGGACGATCAGGAGAGAAACCTCAGTCCCGCTCCCTGGCTGATGGGATACATCCCTCACGGTGAGAGACCAGCTTTGGGAATGGAATTGGAGGCACCAACGTCCAGAGCTGCCTCAGAAAAGATATGATATTTCTGCCTGCTCTGACTTTTTTCCCTTGGCTCCAGCAGTAAACGCTCTAATGTTTGGAATCAATAAATCTGGGTCCCGAGCCCCCTAGGGATGATGCAGATTTAAGAAATGTTTCTGCAGGTAAATTTCTTGCAGAAGATGACTGGTTTCATCCCTGGTTTACCCCATCCACTCTGCAGCCTGATGAAAGCCAGAGGAACTTATTCACCTCTCCTCTGAGGAGGGTGTCCCAGGAACGCAGGCAGCCAGGGGTTGTAGGGGCACAGACACTTACTGTAGGCAGTGGCTGAGTCACGGTCTCTCTGGGTTCCTCCCAGGAACATTGTCAGGGAAGAGTACGGCACATGGTGGCACTAGGGAGAGCACAGTTCAAACACAGCTCTGGCTGCCGCTTCCCTGGTTTGCTGGTCATGACACCCCTCATCCCTACACACAGCAGATAATGCTGCTTTCTGTGCCACCCCTGAACACAGGTGGCTTTTCCCCCTCCTCTTCTGTGATTTGCTCTGTTCCCACAAACCAGTGAAGGAGAAGGTCACATCATCATATACAGGCAGCCCAGCCCCAGATTAAAATGCACCCACCGCTCCATCTCACCATCCCTGCAGGGATGGTCTGCACCATCCTGCATCCCTCACAGCTCCCCAGCTACAGCTCTCCCAGACTCCACTCCAGGTTCCTTCCCAGAGAGGCTGGGGTTGGGACTCCCCAGCTCAGCGTGCCCCTGTTCCTTGCTGTATAAGACAGTCAGCCCCAGGCACTATGTTCCTTACGGTCATGCAAGTCTGGAAGAAGCTGTACATGAACAGGTACCACAGGAATTTCAGGGAGGCGGGGGTGGCATCCGAGAGGGTGAACCACATCATGCAGTAGCAGAGCACCCCGAATGGCATGGAGCATGCAATCCTGGGGAGGAAGCAGAACTGGTCAGATGTGACCCTCAGATAAGGTGGTCACACTTCTCATTACACAAGCTGAGCTATGTAGCACAGCCTCTTCCCCAGCTTCCAAACCACAGCCCAGCTACTGCAAGATCAAGGTCTGTGAGAGGAAACAGCTTTGCTCAAGTCAGCATCCATCAGTCAGGCTGGGAGGAGGCTAAACACAAGCATTGAGAGAAAAAGTAATGTTTAAGTTGTTCAACGTTTCATATTCTCTTGCTTAACTCCTTCAGGTCCTTGCCCTGCTGCAGAACCCTGGAGGCAATGGTAACCCTCTACGTGCACGATCTGCCCGTGGTTAGAGCCTGCTGGAGAGCTGCTGGCACAGCTGACTACCAAACCCTGTAGGTGCCACCATACAGGATTCTCAGAGCACCAAACCTTGTGGCCTTGAAAATGTGAGGCCCCAGGCAAAGAGCAAGTGTACAAGTTTCCCTCTTCTCCTCTTCCATTGCAATGACATATGGACCCCACTGCAAGTTATGTTATCTTTAGTGTCCTTGTGATGTTAAGTTTTTGTAATTCTCCGTAAGCCACAATCACATTAAACTCCCAGTGAGGCGTCCCAGCTACCTCCTTGCACTAGCACTGAAGGAATTTGAGGCAGTGAAGACCGTCCTGAGGCTCCAGCCCAGATACTCACCATGGGATCAGCTTGCCATATTTCCTCCGTGGACTCTTGCTGACTAGGAAGCCAATAGCTGGGTCAGTAACTGCATCCCAGGCTCTTCCAAGGAAAATGATCAAAGAGGCATGGAATGGCTCCAGCTGGGGGGAAATGGAAACCACAGCTCGAAAGGGAAAGAAGTCCTGGGGAAAAGCTGCGAGCAGTCGGCACGATGCGGCTCACTCTAGCTAATGTTTCATCTGCATCCCCTGGTGACCACTCCAAGTGTTGAAATGGCCCAGAAACATCTCCTGAATGCCCACCGACAATATTTGCAACATGCGATTTTGATCCAGTTTGAATGCCTAATTCTGATGAGCATTTCCAAGCGCTTTGGCCACCCACCAAACCCTACCCTTGCCCCAGTTTGGTGAGCTTATGCCACCCCTTTTGCTGATAACCCTATCTCACGTGGCCACTCACCTGCACAACATCCAACAGGAAGATCTGGAGGAAAAATCCGAGGGCATTGCCTGTCATCTGGTAGGGAATACCCCCAACAGCATAGCAAATCTTTCTGCAAAGCGGCAGTCCTGACTTCTCCTGCAGCCAAGACACCAGGGAACAAGCCCACCTGAGAAATGATACGCACCTCTGGCTGACAGCAAACCTCCAGCTGCTGCTTCTTCCACCTGCTGGGTTCTCCGAGGTCCATTTAAATCTTGAGTCATGTCATAACCCCCCACGCACCCACCCATGACTCACCTACCTGTCCTTTGGCTGGGCATCACTCCACCTGACACCCACAAGCACGGTGGACGTGGCAGTTGGGGTGCTGTAGGGTGCTTCCCCATCTGCTGGCAATCTTGGTGCGTGCAACAGGGCAGCAGCCTGGCTTGTGAGATCCTGCTCAGCAGTTTCATATTCTTCATAAGCCTTCAGGGTCTCTTGCACAGCTGCCCTGAGGGGCTGGGCACACCAACAGCCCCTGTCCTCACTCCAGCCCACCAGCCCACATCCACTCCTCGACTAGCCAAAGCCCCAAGGCAAGAGCTGAGCAGCGGGCATCCATCTCATTTGCTTGTCTTGGGCTTGTCTTGTCACCAGGGCCACATCCCTGGTGTTTCACCTTGATTCTCCTGGGAGGCACGTTTGCATGAGATCACAGGCTGCTAATGTAAATGAGATACATATCTAATGCCAGACACCGAACGATCTGCTAAGCTGGTCTAATGTCGTTCTTTCCTATTCTATTGAGCCACAATCCAATGGTTCAAATTCTTTAATATTAAAAAGTACAAATTGCATCAGGCTTAAAGTGACTGTAATGCAGACAGTCCGAGGAGAGAGCCTGCAAAGGCCAGAGCCCAGGGGATTTCTATAAATCAACAGGGAAAGCACAAGGAACGTTTCAGCATGCAGGAAGAGGGCTGATGGCAAAGCCTCTATTTTATTTGGATGTGGTTAGCTTCAGTAAATACCGTACCAAGCCTCAAGTATCTGGCAAGTTCCCAGAAGCAACCTACAGCACTGACTTCCTCCCAGCCCCGAAATGAACTCGCTGTCTATCATGACACACCTCTGCATCACTCAAGACCAGGAGTATACTGCAGAATACAGGGTGAGACCACATAGAAAGCAGACGGCTTGTCTGGGCCCAGCTTTCCCCTTGGCTGAAGCAGCGCATGGCCTTGGCAGCAGCTCGGCTCTCTTACAAGCAAGACCATTGCTAGAGGCCATTTCTGTTGGGATGGGGTCAGCAGTGGTGGGGTTGCAGTGCAGATGCCTGGGGACCAGGGCTGACCTCCCATCTCAGCACAGGCTGCCTTGGATGATGCTCAGGGCTAACACACTTGTTAGGATCTTAGATTCCTGGTCTACACCATGTTTCAGCTTTCCTGATCACCGAGCAGCTCCAGCACAGCTCAGAGTGTGGCAGGCAGTTTGCTGTCCTGCACCCAAAAAATATACAGCCCGTTCTGGAAAGATGCAGAAGGCTCCGCAGAGGGCCATCCCAGGCGACAGGCCCGGTCCAGACATGGCTATAAAAGGCTGCAAGCTCTTCCAGGAAGAGTTCTGCAGAAAAGCAGAGAGTAAGGAGGGATGGACACTTGGCACAGAAACCGCTGTACGAGAGGTTGGGCTGAGGGACAGACTGCATGGTCACATCGACGGCTGGGTAACGGGGAAATCAAGTCAGGAATCACTTCAAATTCCCAGTTGCCCTCATCTCTTGTGGGGTGGGGGGGCAATCTGCTGGTTCCCCAGACTTTTTGGGCTGGAGATGGCTTGTTGTGCTGCTAGCATCAGCTAAGCTGACAGCCACCCTTGAGGGATGACAGACCCTCATTGTAACAGTACTAGGGAGCAGCTTCCAGAAACACAAGCACAACCCCAAAAAGCAGCATGCCAGAAGGCACCGAGTGCCTTTCCCTCACGCAGCAATTAGCAGTAACTCCTCCACAGCCCATGCCATGGAAAAAGCACTGATGCTGCTGTGCCCACCAGGCTGAAGGACCCGGCCTCTTCCTGCACACCCAGGTAACCTCGGCAGCCTGCTTGTGCCTCAGCTTCTGCTCCCAGTTTACTTTCTGCCTTTTACAGCACACAGCAAGAGTCAGGTCCCCTGTATTTCAAATTGCAGACTAACCTTGTCCCACAGGGATGGCTGAAGCATTAAGTTTGCACCACCACTGTGGAGTACTTACTCATACAACATCTTATTTCCACAGCAATTCTGTTTCTAAAATTACAAAAGCATTTCTCTCGACTGTAGGGTTTTGTGGCAGCTTTTGTTCTCTTTATGCTCTCAGCAGGTAGGACAACGCTCTGCGTGTCTCTGCCCATTTCACTTGAAAGTCAGCAACAGCAACAAAACGCAGAGCCTTGCTTTAACAATGTGTTCTTGAGCTTGAGTCATAAACACTTCGAAACACCCCCACAGCTTGCGGCTGCTCGATCCAGGGAGGCTCTGCGTGGGTGTGCGCACTCGCGAGGGTTAGCGTGCACGTGTGAAAAGCATTGCTGCGTGTGAGAAAGAAGCACCCTGGGACGTTGATCTTACCTCTCTGTGGACCACTCTCCTTTGTGGGAGAGCTCCTTCTTGGGTTAACCTGTGCAGCTCAGCATCTTCATGACCACCTGGAAGCATGACTGCAGACACAACCGTGTCCTTCAACGGCACGTGGCGGGGAAGCAGAAGCTTCCTTGCCCAGGGTGAGGAAGAAGTTGCCTTGTACGTGAAAAAGCACACTGCAGGCACAGATCAGAGCTGGATGGAGATTTGACAAATGAAGATACCACATCTGTGGGGCCCCAGGAGGAGCTGATGGAGGGGAAATGACTGGCCCCTGAGGGAGGAGCGTGTCCAGACCCTGCCCATGGAGGCGGGAAGCCTGGCAGCGCTCACAGAGCAGCATGTACTCTGGGCAGTAGCTCCCAGGCTCTCTGCAGGTAAGCAGAGGAATCTGGTAGTCTTCAAAGGTCAAGCTGGGTCCAGCACTTCCTCCCCATCCCAGGGCTGCTGCCACACTGAGATCTTAGGGGTGTGGAGAGGAGGTCCTTTGCCTGAGCTCCAGACCACCGCCAGAACACGCTTGAGCCACTCCAGGACTCCCACCTCAGCACCAGCTGCAAAGCACCAGCGTGTGAAACCCAGAGTGAGCAACCAAAGTGGCTGGAGCAGCCAGGGAGAGGGCAGCGGGAACAGACAGGTTCTCGCCACGGGTCACTCCCCAACAAAGGCCCTCTCTCTCCCAAGCAGCCCAGGAAGACCAGGAGCCCAGCTCTGGCTCCTTATTCACCTGCCCCTTTGTTTTGTGCTCTCCTTAATGGGTACAAGGTGTTGGCACTGCTATAGCCCAGGACAACGTCACTCAAAGTAGGAGGCGTGGGATACATTTTCCTTTCCCTATTAAACGAGATCTGCAATTATCAACCTCTTTCAGTCTGTGAGCTCCTCAGAGATCTCCCATGGCAATGCAGACCGCACACAGTATGTTTTAGCCTGGTGACAAGAAATATGCTTTTCTTAGTCCCCTTTCACAGACCCTTCATCACCCGTAGAGACCAGCAGCTTCGGTATCACAAACCAAAAATTATTCCTACATTAAGAGCAGTAGGAGCCCAGTTACTCAGCACTGGCTGTGTGGGAGCAGCCGAGTTCCCAAGGCAGCGGTGCTCACAGCATGCAGCCAGTCACCGTTAGAAGCACTTGGCAAAGCAAAGGCAGAGGGAGAAATCGGCTTCAGAGGACAGAAGGCACACAGCAAAAGGCTGGCAGGAAAGGGATCGCACCACCACTCTGCCCGCTAATCATCTGTTTGGCACATTTAGCCTCATCAGGCAGCTCTTCAAAACCAGGCTTCTCTAGCTAGATCAAACTCAGTCTCCAAGACTGAACTTATATGCAGCAGCTGGGGCAGAAGAATACCAGCAAACCCCTCTCCCTGCTCTCCTCCCAGGTTACCAAGAGCCACTGGGAGCACTGAATCCCTGTTAGTGTCTCTGTATCACCACCTGTACCCAAAGGGAATGCAAGGAGCCATTCCGCAAGGTTCATCACAATGCTTCATCATCAAAAAATGCATCATCTTTAGCTCAGCCTTGCCTTGTCCAGTGAGGGTTAATCTAAAAACCCTGAATTTTGCAGGCTGAGTCAGAACTTGGTTAATAAGTCACAGTACAACTGAGTCAGCGGCATCTCTCTTCACTGCTATTATACTGACATCCCAGATAACAGATATCACTCACGCTGGACCACAGCCAGTGCAGTGGGAGCCAAATCCCTGTCTCCCACCAGCATATCTAAGCATACATCTCTATAAGAAAGCAAAATACATCTCTTCCCACCCAAGAGGAAAGGGGAAACTCAAAAGGAAATATAAAAAACCTGATTTGTATTTTTTCCTAGGCCATTTTGTACCCACTCACCACACACAATTACTTTTGGATAGACACAAGGTACTTTTGGAAATTGCACTCAGCACTTAATCCGCTGGCTCTTTGGCGCTCATTTACTCTCCAGGTGCAAATAGCTGCATTTTCTGCTCGCGGACTAGAAAGCCAACAGATGACCAACAGTTACCTCCCAGAGTAGCTGTGTAGCTCTCGCTCCCTGGCTAATTCTGTGCATAATTATCTTCAACACAGGAAAGCTTTATTTCTGCTCCGCTCAGATCCTCCCAAAGCCTTTTGTCATGTTGCTCGGTGCCTTACAGAAGGCAGCATCACCCGTTGGGTCTAGACAGGATGTCACGATTGCTAGTGCAGCACGGGGAGCTCTCAGCCCGCCTCTGCACAGGAGCGGGTTCAGCTTTGTGGTGGAAAGGCAGATTTTGGTGAAAAGCACCAATCACACTGTTAATCACTGCTATACACTGAGCTACTTGCCGCAAGCAATGAGCTTTCTAATAGCGCCGTGTGCTGAGGCCTGAAATCTAACCAAACCAGCTTGCCGTACCCTGCGCACACCAAGGGGCAAAAGGACAATACTTCTTCCATTGCTACACTAATCTTTTGCTACTGGTTGCTTAGAAATAGGTTTTCAAAGAATAGGGAAAGCACTCAGCAACAGTGCAGCTACATTCGTTTTTCTGTTGCACAAATGGCAGCAAAATGTTCAGAGAAGCCAAAGCTCTGCAGTTTAAGAAACAAGGTCATGTTGGAGTTTACTCACTGCAAAGGAAAGGTCCCTTCCCCAGAACCCCCTTCTCCACTGCAGAAGCATGAGATCTTATCTCTGAAGGCAGCCCAGGGGCCCGGGAATGCATGATACAAACAACTCCAATCCAAACCATGCTAGCTCGACAGCTTTTCTCAGGGTACTATGACCTAGAGATGGGCCGCTCAGGCAAGGCAGCCCCGCTGGAGAAAAAAAAAATAAGTAAAAAAAAAAAAATAGTCTAAAGCCAGCAAATGGGACTATTTTGGCACAGAAGCAAGTGGCAGCATTTGGATATGTTCCACTAACAAGTTCTCCAGAGGTTGACGCCTCCTTGACTGCTCTAAGCACAGCCAGTGGCTCTCGTGTTCCCCTTAGCACAGCTGCCTTCTCTTGGTGGAACGGGAGTTGTGACTTCAACAGGCACCAAGGTGGGTGAGACAGGAGAAGAAGAGCTACTGTAGGCCCCATAAGCCAATAAAGAGTTAATTTAACAAGTAGTCACAAAATGTACCTGAGTAAATAAGAACATCTGGAATCTATTCAGGAACACCCAGCGCTGGGACAGACAGGCTCAGTGCAGACAAGACAGAACAGCAAATAAGATAAGCATTTAGGAATGTAGTAAATAAGTCAGAAAATGATAAATTAGTAAATTGAGAGGTGCTTGACACAGGAGCTGTTCAATTACCAAAGATGTGGGCCTGTTGCATAATTAGTATTATACTACTCTCTGTAGAAAAGCATAATAGGGAAACGCGGGACTCATTTGGAAAAAACTTTTGCTAACAGGTAACTAGAAAGGATTTCTCTTCCCGTTTCTGTTGAAGTCTGCGGGATCCCTGCTGACAGCCAGCCCCATCACCGGGCCAGCAGCTGCAATAAGCTGCTACCTCAGTTTAGGCGGTGTGTGTTTGCACTTGTTCCACCAGTATTGCCGTAGAAGCCCAGTTAGCGCTTTGGCAGCAGCCAACGTACGGAAGTCCCCAAGCAGTCTGCAGTGACACACACTCCACCGGCTCCCAGAGCCACTCACCGCCATCGTGCCTGTTCTGTATGTTTATGCCACGTGGTACAGCACATGCATTATTTAGCAGAGCAAGAAGGAGACTTGCAGCTGAAGTCTCAGCAGACATCAACTACCTTTAGGCTTTTTTTCCTTCATAAAGTAAAGTGAAACTGCTTAAAACACACCACGAAAGCTGTCAGGGCGATCACACCTCATTTACAAGGACTGTAGGTGAGGAGACCCAGCTCTGCGTGATTAAGCGAGTGTGTGCGCGATGGCTAATTCCCTTCACACCAGGCAGAGCACTGATGCGCACGTTCACCGCTGCTGTGCCTGAAGGACAGGTACAGCAACACGCAGCTCACAGAAGTCTGTTCTGAGTCTCGAAGTGCAAGAGGAGCTGAAAGGCTTCTCTTTCATCAGGGATGCAGCTGGGTCACCAGGAAAGCCACCTGGCAGCAGGCACGGCTGAGAACCGCAGGCTTCAGCTTCCCAGCTCTGCCTTGAGTGACAGACACCCTTCCTTGGATGATGCCAGGTGTTTACCATACAAGCGCCAATGGAAACCCACAACCTGGTAAGAAAAACAACTTTGTTGCTTAATTAAAACTGTCATTCAAAATTACCAGTCTCCATCTATAAACATTCTGGTTCACCAATAGAAACAAGACCATTTAGAAGCTGTAAGGGGGTAGCATTGTTTTGCTTTCACAATCTAGCAATCCTTCAATGGGCTTACCTAAACAGCAAACTCCTGAACAGACACCAGCTTCTGCCCAAGGATTAACACAGATATCGCAGGTCCTCCCCTCATGGTGGTGGGCTTTGAAGAAACCCATAAGCATCTTGTTTTACTATGGCACCAATCCCTCAAGCCAGTTTTCCACTATAACTACAGAGTCAGAAGAAACATCAACTTAAGGTCCTTTTTTTTTGATAGCGAAGGATCTGTAAAGCAGTGCTGCTTTTGAAAGAAAACCACCCTGACTGAACTTCCGAAGAACATCTCAGGAGCCCACTGACATCCTTTTAACCACTCCTCTAAATAAAGACACTGGGGAACTGAAGACCCACCCAAGAAGCAGCCATGGCATGAAGGTCACTTTCTCCTTCTGGAAAGATTTAGTGTTTTCCAGCAACAAGGAGCAAAGATTAAATTAAATATAACTGAGTATAACCAAAGGCAACAAGAAAAAAAAAAAGAGTTAGACCAAAATTTACAGTCACCCTCTTGTAGCTGCAGGTGTCCCCACTGTGATTTCTTGCTCCCTATCTCTTGTCGCTGCTTCCATTTATCTTCTAGCTGAGCCACCGGAGTTTTGTGCCGAAACAAGCCAAGCAGCTAGCTGCTTTGTGCTGTTAAAGTTATTTTACCCAAAGAAGCAGCTGAAGGTGCTATGTACCTGGATGTTCCTACACCACTGAAAAACTACTTTTCCAAATGCACTGGGGTAGCAGAACCTCCTGAGGTAGGCAGACCCCAGATCATGCAAGAAACATAGACCAGAAAAAGAACCCATGGGAAAAGCAGCATTACAGAGGGGAGGCAGAGTTCCCAGGAAACAGTGCAAAATGCTATCAGAAAACACAGGAACTAAATCTTAGCAACGCGGACATGTGAAAAGGAAAAAGAGGAAACAATGAACTGTGTATGAAGGAAAAATATCCAAGGAAGTCCTACAATTACCCATCTAAGGAAAGGAAAACTGTTAAAATACAGCACTCAAAGAAAACCACTCAGATACAGTGAAAGACATCAGCCCCAGCTAGGACAGCACAGTCATAAAGCTGGGCTGTATCTTGTCATACAGAAATTGCAAAGAAGTAGGTTTTCATGTGAGACATGGAGCACTGCCTTAACACCAGCGTGTGAAAGACCAGGAAGACAGGCAGGACTCCCCTGTGGAGGGAATGATCAGAGAAAAAAAGCAAAATTTCAAAGTGAAACACTTTTCTGGGCAAAGGAGAAAAAGACACTTTTTTTGCAGGCATAAAGTTTCAGAAAAGCCCAATCTCAGCCTATGACTCTGTTAGAACAGAGACTCAGAGTGATAAAGGAAGATTTTATGAGAGAGAAAGTCAAAAAACCTCACTAACAACCATGACAAACAATAGGAGCATCAGAAACCAGCATTTACCTTCCCGCAGGAGCACGTCAAACACTGAAGAGCTGCACAAGTGAGAAGGAAGGTGATTTTCCACACACACTCCCAGCTTTTTTCCTGTTCTGGTAATTTATCCCTTCCCCATTAATTAGCCTGGCTGTCATTTTTTGCTTTATAGCTTATTTTATGGTGAAACTTTGCTTCCAATTTGTTCCACAGGCTCTTTTGTCAACTTTGGAAGAAGATACGCCTATCGTGGTTACTGATACCGCTTCAGTGCTCCACTTGGGCACACTTCAGATACCCTGGCGGCAGGGCAGAGCTGATCCTGGTCACCAGGAGATAAGCACTGCTCGTTACTTACAAAAACAAAAGCCAAGAAAAGAATCAGAGGAAGAAGGAGTCGGCAGCGGCGTCCCAGAAGGTCTCACAGCCACCCAGGAGCACAAGGTGCAGGTCCCCGCAGACAACAGGGAGCCGGCAGAGTTTTTCAGCAGGAGCCTTCGAGGTGGAGAGCAGCTTCTCTGCAGCACTGCCACCCTCTGGCTCAGGGGGAAAATTGGCTTTTCCTGGCAGAGGAGCGTTCCCGAGCCTGGAGCCTCTCTGAATTTAGCAACTTTCCGTCTCACTGGCAAGGAGAGAGCTGGAAGGAAACCTGGATGTGAAACTTCCCATCAGTGAGAAGAATCTGTGCGACAAAATCCTTGGGGTCGGCAGCTACATGAGTTGCTGTCTAGCTCCCAATCCTCATTTAATTTGGGGGCATCAATGTCTCTAGCTCCTCCAGCCAAAGACCGCAGACACCAGCTAGTCACCACCTCAGCCCTCTGATGCCACCAGCTAACCAAGGCAGAAGCAGGAAACAAATAACGTGTACTCTTTCTGTTAGATAAACTTTTTTTTCTGGGTCTAGGGGCACATCCTGGCCAGCTTTCTGGAAGATGTTGTCCCAGGTCCCCAAAACAGCACATGTGAAGAAGATCAGGATACAAGAACACCTCCGATGAACAATTAAAAATGAGTGACTTGCCACAAGGCATTGTTACTATATTTAGCTCTGAGGGAAATTCCCTTTCTGAATTCTCTCCATACTGGTTCACACAGATTACTAAATGATCGTAATACATAACATCAAGTGATGGAGGCAGGCAAACCCCAGGTTCACCTGTCAGAAAAAGTCTTTTAAAATGCTGCTGAGATTTTTGATCTCATTCAGCTGAAGACAGCTCAGCACTGGGAAGCCTTCTCGTCGAGCAGCCCAAAGCAGTAAGTGTAGACATCTGTATGACATCATCCAAAACACGAGAAGAGGTGGTAGCCATTATTAGAAAGGGTCAAACGCCGTTTTCCTATTTTGCGGGCTTTTAATGGTAATTTTCACAATAATTTACAATTTGCTGTTATGCACATTATAGATCTATTTAGTAACGAAAAACATAAGTTAATTCAGCTCTCATTTGAGAAACTGTTGTAAAAATGCCCTTGCTAAGGTCTGGCATCTACTCCTGCAGTTCTGTATTAATACAGGCAGCCAAGCGAGTTTCTCATGCTGAACCTGTCCAACCTGCTGGCCCTCCCCCAGCCTGCACGTCCCTAGAGCTACTTCTCTGCTCACACCAAGGTGAGGACCTGGAAACTTCAGAGTTATGAGGGGGGGTGGACTTACAGCGCAGCAGCCGCAGGGCTCCAGCGTGACTAAGGCAGGAAGCAGACAGCATGCTCCAACCTTTCACGGGGCAGCGATCCAGCCTCTCCCACAGGGCTACGGCTGGTGCGGCGCAGCCCCCAGTTAGCTGGTGTCTGGAGGCCCACAGTTCAGCACAGCTCTGAGTTCTGCTCCGAAGCTCAGGGCTAGGACAACAAGCACGCTGCGGGTCGGCGCAAAGTGCCGTGGCACAACGCTAGATGGCAACTAGTATGCGTGATGCTACACCAGCGCTACCAGTCCCTCGTGTCTAGGCGTAAGGAATTCACCCGCAGGATTCTGTTCAAAGGAAAGAAAGATATGGAGACCTGAGCCCAAAACACAAACTGCAGGACAGACCGAAGCTGGAGAATTCCAGGTGTTCAGCTACGTTAGTCCTCAGCAGACGAGAGGAAATAAATCAAAAGGTATCACAGCCTTGAGTTTTTCTACCTGAGGTGTTTTCATCATCTCAATAATTCACCTCTTAAAATAAAACTTGCTTTTCAGTAAGATAGACCCTGTTTGCCTTTTACTTTCAGACACTTCAAGCTGATTCACCTTTGTACGTTCTTGGAAAGAAAAAGTCAGCAGCAGGGTTTGTCAGAGAAATGCAATACAGCAAACTAAAACTGCAGTCAGTCTGGACTGCTGGAGAAAGTGCAAGCAGAGCAGGTGGGTACTGCAATGAATGCCCCTAAGAGTTCTGCTGAGGGAAGGAAAGTCAGGACTTTCTCTCCGGAAAAGCCCAAGAAGAGTGTTAAACCTTGCACCTGCACACACGCATTGGAGTTTTCCCCACACTGAACAACAGCTGTTTCACAAAGACTTCTCCCCCCCCCCCCCCCCGGGCTTTTACAGCAGTGTAACCATTATCCTGACAATCAGATCACCCAATCTTGTATAATTTATATTTAATGTGCGAAAATAAAGGAAGCACTTTGCAGCAGTCCCTGGAGGAGAGGGAAGAGCAAAAAGACTGTGATGAGCAGTCAATTGGCAAAGGACAGAAACTGCTCCCTGGGAGCTCCCTTCCCCCTTACCTTCCTCCCCTCTAAAGAGCGCAGTAACACAATCCACAAAGGTAACTGAACTCTTGTGGGAGAATTTCTGGCACAATAGGCTGCAGCTCCTTTCAAAACGGATTCGTTTCGTTTATTTATTTTAAAGTCCACTGATCATCATCACAAAAAAAAAACCAACCCATGGGAAATGCAACTAAAGAGAAAAAAAGTCCAACCAAG